ATTCCTTTTATTTAACTCAGACAGAAAATGTTACTTCCACCAAAAAAAAAAAACTTATTAACATAGGAAACACTTTTTTTGAAGTTAAATTATGTAATTTTGAGCATTTTTTATTAACTTAAAATTAAAAACATCTTTAATTCACCAATTTGGATATGGGGCCACGGCCTTACCTTTAATACAAATCCATGGAATAGAGTTCCATATCATCCTACTCACATAAACCATTGTTGACATTTCTAGTTTTGGCTTAGTTAAAATGAAAAAATCCGAATGTGAAAAAAAACCCATTTATATTTATACAATGCCCCTCCAGATATTCTGTTTCCCTACAGCTAATTGAGTGCAACTTTTTAGAAACTCGAATTTTCCCAAACTCAAAACAATTTAATCAATTAATCTTTTCTTATTAATAGTTAACCTGTTTACATATTTAAATTACACAATTATAAATTGACTTGGAAACAGAGATGAGTGACTCTTGGTAAGCAAACAGTTTAAATGATGGGACAGGTACATGGGCATTATTAGAGAGTAGTCATTAACAACCAATTTAGGACACTGTGAACATTAGTGAATTTATTTTTCAAATGAAATGAACAATTAATAAAACAAATCAGTTAAGTGATTAAGAGAAACTTCAATTTTAAAAAAAAGTGATAGAGAAAGAGTAGAAAAAAGGAAAAATACCTGCTAATCATCTAACCCAGTGCTTGAGCAGCAGGATGAGGCAGTAAATTGACTGATGGAAAAATGACAATAGATACAGTTTAAAAGTTAGGTTTCTGTAATAGAATAACTTTTATTTTTTATTTTTTATTTTTTTACCCAGAAGCAGCTACAAAAACAGGTAACAATGCTTCCCAAGTCCCTCAGAGTTCCCCACAGGGAAACAGTTGCCAAGCATACCACCTGATTGAAATGAAGATCCCATCTGGGGCTTCTGGCAAGCTCATGCTCTCCCATTCTAAGGAAAAGTTCTATAGATTCTGGAAAGGTGCCTATCTGTTTCCTATTTAAAAGTAACTATATCAAGATTTGCTTCAAAGTAATCAGATTAGAAAAACTGGGAGGAGGGTGTTTAAAGTCATATGGAAGGGACATAATGAGTGATAAGTATGCAAGGGTTCATCGTACTGCTGTCTTTTCTTTTTTGTACATTAAAATTTCTCTGTGATAGAGTTAAGCAAATAAGTAACTGGTACATAACAACTGATACATTCCAGAGTGGTTATCTGAGTTGTCTGAATCACAGGTCAATTTCCCAATTGGATAATTCCCAAGAGGCCTAGATCTCAGGGGTGTGTATATAGACACACACACACATATGTATACATACACACACATATACACGTGTGTGTGTGTATACATATATATATATATATATATATATATATATATATATAATATAATAAATTTTTTTTTTTTTTTCGCTGAGATGGAGTCGCTCTGTTGTCCAGGTTGGAGTAGTGCAACGGCGCGATCTCAGCTCACTGCAACCTCTGCCTCCCCGGTTCAGGTGATCCCCCTGCCTCAGCCTCCCAAGTAGCTGGGACTACTGGCAAGCGCTTCTATTTTTAGAAGAGACCGGGTTTCACCATGTTAGCTGGGCTGGTCTCGAACTCCTGACCTCAAGTGATCCTCCCACCTTGGCCTCCTAAAGTGCTGGGATTACAGGTGTGAGCCACTGTGCCCAGCCTCAGGTCTGTATTTTTGATAAAAGTATTTCCTTAGGTATGTACTGCAGATTTATGCTGCCCATTAATGCAGTTCTATAGAGCACGGTAAATTTTACTCAAATACTTTATTGCATTCAAGTTTATTAATAGTGGTTTAAGGAGAACTCTTTTATTCTCAACAAGTTCAGTTTTGCTGACACTTACTGAGAGAAGTTATCATTTGGCTGAACACCATTGCCCCTCTGAAAGCTATTTTATACATACATATTCAGGGAATATATGTCACCTAAATTGAAACAATTCAAATTCGTAGTATTCTAATGACATGAGCTGAACCTACTGGATGGCTCCAACTCATCAAAAAGGACATGGATGTTTTTCCCTTATTAAAAATAAAAGAGACCGGGCGCAGTGGCTCACGCCTGTAATCCTAACACTTTGGGAGGCAGAGGAGGGCAGACCACATGAGGTCAGGAATTAAGAGACGAGCCTGGCCAACATGGTGAAACCCTGTCTCTACTAAAATACAAAGATCAGCCAGGCACGGTGATGCATGCCTGTAATCCCAGCTACTCAGGAGGCTGAGGCAGGATAATCGCTTGAACCAGGGAGGCAGAGGCTGCAGTGAACCAAGATCACGCCATTGCACTCCAGCCTAGATGACAGGGCAAAACTCTGTCTTAAAAAACAAAACAAAACAAAACAAAACAACACAAAAGATGATGAGTAGCTGTGTTATAATAGCTCGGTAGAAAAAGTAATGCAGTCCGGGCATGGTGGCTCACACCTGCAATCCCAGCACTTTGGGAGGCCGGGATAGGTGGATCACCTGAGGTCAGGAGTTCAAGACCAGCTTGGCCAACATGGTGAAACCCCATCCCTACTACAATACAAAAATTAGCTGGACATGGCGGCGGGTGCCTGTAATCCCAGCTACCTGGGAGGCTGAGGCAGGAGAATCACTTGAACCTGGGAGGTGGAGGTTCCAGTGAGCCAATATCACGCCACTGCACTCCTGCCTGGGCAACAGAGCCAGACTTCACCTCAAAAATAAATAAATAAAAAATCTAATGCAGCTTTTAATCTCTGGCTTTCAATTGGACTATGTAAGCAGAAGGGCTATGTAACTCTATACACTCATGAAAATTTATTAAACTAACAAACAGCAAGCGTTTTACCACATATCACTGCTAGGGTTCAGCAATAGAAGAGTGGTTATAGAGGTAACTCTAGTTACTGCTCTCAATAAGACAACTGATCGAGCCAAAGGAATAGCCAGTATTTTTCAAGAATAAATATCTTACTGCAAAAGCAGTCATTAAACCTCGTACATTTACGTACTTTCTTTCATTCTGTCTTCTCTAAATACCTACCCTGACCATAAATGGCAGTATGCAGGAAACTCCTGTTTTGAAGGGTGCAGTACGTTGCAGACTATGTAAGAAACATAACTGTTACAATGTACTAAAATCTAGTATAACCAGTAATCAGTACACTTTAAGTAGTAACTAGTAATTACATGACACCAACTTGCTTTTTGATCAATTTATATTTTAAGAATACACATGTATTCTATTTTAAACAAAAGCACTCATATTTCAGATTTATAAAACAGGCAACTTAAATGGAGATTTTAAACAGATAGATATACATATAATGTATATATTTTTAGACAGAGTGTCAATCTGTTGCCCAGGCTGGAGGGCAGTGGCACAATCAAAGCTCATTGTAGCCTCAGTGTCCTGGGCTCATGCAATCCTCCCACCTCAGCCTCCCAAAGTGCTCAGATTACAGGCATAAGCCACCATGCCCTAAAATAATTATCATCAAAGACTTACTCACATTACAAACAATTCCCTAAGGAATATATTAGATATTTAAATATTCTCATTAGAAATAAAATGGTTCCATTTATACATACTGCCTAAATGTAAGGCCTATTTAGCAGCATCTTTTTTAAGTCAACAATTTCAAATTAAAATTTGGTAACTAATTTAAAACACACCCATCCTCTGCTAAGAAAGCAGTAGTGGCTAGAAAAAATAGCTCCAAAACACTCATATAGAACCTACTTTGGTTGGGTGCAGTGGCTCATTCCTATAATCCTAGCACTTTGGGTGGCTGAGGCAGAAGGATCCCTTGAGCCAAGGAGTTTGAGACTAGCCTGGGCAACACAGGGTCTCTACAAAAACTTTAAAAATTAGCTGGTTGTCATGGCTCATGCCTGTGGTCCCAACTACTCAGGAAGCTGAGGTAGGAGGATCACTTATTACTTCAGCAGTGACCCGTGATTGAGCCAATGCACTCCAGCCTGGGTGACAAGAGAGCAGCTGCCTTAAAAAGAAAAAGTACCTACTTTGTATTATAACTTATTTTGAGAACTTAAGATTTTAAAAATTTTTTTATCTTCTACAACTATGATACTATCTCAACACTGTTTATCATCTGTAGGAAAATGCAGCATCATTTTCACTGGTATCTCCCTCAAAATCACTCAATAAAAGCACATTCATTTAAAATTAATAAAGATATTTAGAGAAAGCAATTTTAAAACTTGCTAAGATTTCCCTACAGTATTTACACTTTTATTCCTTATATATAAAACCTCAATCCTGATTATTTTATTGTGTTATTCAAGACTTAAATTTCATTATAAGCACATTCTTTAGAACATAATCATCTAATATTACAGGCCAAACTAATACCTGTTCTCATTTTTAGTGCTATTTTAACTAGAATAAAGCTTTTTTTCCAGCCCATTTCCGATCAGAGACAACACTCTAATTCCAAGACTCCATACTACCTATTTACTTAAAATTGCTGCTTTGTTAAGCAATGTTGTCTTAATCTGTAACTTTTACAAATGTTGTCACAATTCCTAATAGTTTTAAAACACTACAAAACTATACATGCTAAAGTTTTTAGACAACCTGAAATAAAATACAAATTTGCTCATTTTCTTTTCCCTAAGGTGACAATACCATTCCTTGCCTTTTTTCACTCTTTGAAAAATTTTACAGATACCTGGGCCAGGCACGGTGGCTCATGCCTGTAATCCCAGCACTTTGGGAGGCTGAGGCGGGTGGATCACGAGGTCAGGAGATCAAGACCATCCGGGCTAACATGGTGAAACTCTATCTCTACCAAAAATACAAAAAATTAGCTGGGCGTGGTGGCGGGCACCTGTAGTCCCAGCTGCTCGGGAGATTGAGGCAGGAGAATGGCGTGAAACTGGGAGGTGGAGCTTGCAGTGAGCTGAGATCGCACCACTGCACTCCAGCCTGGGCAACAGAGCGAGAGACTCCACCTCAAAAAAAAAAATTTTTTTTTTAACAGATACCTAATGGTTGTACATATTTATGGGGTATATGTGGTATTTCAAATACAAGCATACAATGAATAATGATGACATCTGCATAACTGGAATATCCATCACCTCAAACACTTAACATTTCCTTGTGCTGGGAACATTCTAAAGTTTTCTCTTCTACCTATTTCAAAATAAACAATAAATTATTGTTAACTACAGTAGCCTATTGTGCCACTGAACACCAGAACTTATTCCTTTTATCTAACTGTATTTTTATACTCACTGAACTAACCTTCTTCACCCAACCTCTCCCCGTACCCACCCCAACCTCTGGTACCCACCATTCTATTTACTACCTCCATGAAATCAATTTTCTAAATTCATTAAAAAATGAAGGTATTTAGAAACTATGGATTTTGTATCTCCACAGTACCTAATCTTCATCTCCATTAAAACTGTTGTAACACTCATTATTAATTTCAAATTTCAAACTAGCACACTATCAAAAATGTCTTATGGCTACTGCTTTCTTGTTACTATTGGTAGTAAAAAGGAGCTATCTTAAGGTATGGTAAAAGTAGGGAAATAATCTTTAAAACAGCAATAGAAAGAAAAATCTGGAAAAAAAAAATACATTTGAAAGCTGACCTTAGAGGAGAAATAGAATTTGAATATATAAAGCTGGCAGTATGAGAAGATAAACTGTAAAGATAAATTTAGAATCTTTAAAGCTTGTTCAAAACACTTGTGCATAATTCTGTATCTTAAAATCTTTAATGTGTTACAAGAAAACTAACACACGTAGGTTACATTAAATACCATACATATACACACATATATGTACACCTCATACTGAAAGATGTCACATCACAGCTTCTTAGACAATTCTATTGATGTTATGTCCTTTCTAATTAAAACTTAGACAATTCTATTGATGTTATGTCCTTTCTAATTAAAACTATAATAAAAGACACTTTGGGAAGCCAAGGCGGGTGGATCACTTGAAGTCAGGGGTTCAACACCAGCCTGGGCAACATGGTAAAACCCCAACTCTATTAAAAAATACAAAACTTAGCCGGGCGTGGTAGCATGCACCTGTAATCCCAGCGACTTGGAAGGCTAAGGTGGGAGAACTGCTTGAATCTGGGAGGTGGAGGTTGCAATGAGCTGAGATCATACCACTGCACTCCAGCCTGGGCAACGGACTGAGACCCTATCTCAAAAAACAAAAACAGAAACAAAAAAACACTGTAATAAAAAAGCATAGGTCGCCCATTAAAAGAAAACACCAAATTTTTTCATGTATTTTAATAACACAGAGTGCTTTAATCTAGACATATTTGAAATTATTTTTCTTCATTAAAAAAGCTGTATGTCTTAGTTGATAAGAAGCTGACAAATTGATATGATTGTTTCTAAAGCCAACTTTTGTCCTTTATGTATTTTCCCCTTCAATCAGAGTCTCATTTTATAAACATTTTGTATATTAAACATTCAGGCAAATGTAGTAGTAGGCAGTGCACTGAAATACAATGTCATATAAAGAACTGCAGCACTCAGCTCTAATTTTTGGCACACCCAGAAAGTTGCTTGATCTGATTTTTTTTTGAGCAACTAAGAAATCCAGATTGTGGTGCGATCTCACTTGGAATGTTGGAAACAATTTCAAAAATTTTAAAACATTGCTTAGGTCATAGAAAATGACCCTATTGTTCTAGGCAACCAATCTATAACTTTGCTTATTGTCCAGATTTTAATAAAGTACATTGTATTAGTTTTCTATTGCCACTCTAACACACTATCACAAGTTGAGTGGCTTAAAAGAACATATATTTATCCTCATACAGTTCTGAAGGTTGTAAGTCCAAAATAAGTCTTAACTAGAATTAAGTTGTAGGTAATTTCTTGCAGAGAATCCAGGGAAAAATCTATTTCCTTCCTGTCTTTTCCAGCTTCTAAAAGGCAGCCTACATTCCCTGGCTTGTGGATCTTTCCTCCATCTTCAAAGCACATCATTTTAATCTCTGCTTCCAGCATCTCTTGCCTTTTTTTTTTTTTTGAGATGGAGTCTCATGCTGTGGCCCAGCACTGGAGTGCAGTGGCGCGATCTCAGCTCACTGCAAGCTCCGCCTCCCGGGTTCACGCCATTCTCCAGCCTCAGTCTCCCAAGCAGCTGCGACTACAGGTGCTCACTACCATGCCCGGCTAATTTTTTGTTTTTCAGTAGAGACAGAGTTTCACCATATTAGCCAGCATGGTCTCGATCTCCTGACCTTGTGATCCACCCGCCTTGGCCTCCCAAAGTGCTGGGATTACAGGTGTGAGCCACCGCGCCCAGCCCAGCATCTCTTGGCTTTAACTGTCTTATCTCCCTCATATAAGGATCCTCATGATTATACTGGTCTCATCTTGATAATCCAGAAGAGTTTTCCCATCTCAAGATCCTTAATTAATCACATCAGCAAAGTCTCTTTTGTCTTTTAAAAGTACATATTCACAGATTCTGGGAATTAAAATCTGGATATCTCTTGATTGAAGGGGAGGTCATTATTCTATCATATATGCATTCTAAAGGGTTTTTTTTTTTTTTTTGAGATTCCTTAAAACTTTCTATATAAATGGTCATACTTCTGTATTGGTAAGTGCCCTGTGCAGGTGTATCATTTATTGTACCTTTTCTATGTTTAGACAATATTTGGATACACAAATACCACTGTACCACAACTGTCTACAGTATTCACTACAATAACCTGTTGTACAGGTTTGGAGTCTAGGAATAACAGGCTATATCACATGGCCTAGGTATGTAGTAGGCTACAGTTTAAGCATCCCTAATCTGAAAATCCGAAATCCAAAATGCTCCAAAGTATGAATTTTTTTGAGCACCAACATAATGCCACAAGTGGGAAATTCCACACCTGACCTCTTGTGACAGGTGCACAAAAGCATTAAAAATATTTGGTCAGGAGCGGTGGCTCACGCCTGTAATCCCATCACTTTGGGAGGCTGAGGTGGGCATATCACAAGGTCAGGAGATTGAGACCATCCTGGCTAACACGGTGAAATCCCGTCTCTACTAAAAATACAATTAGCTGGGCATGGTGGTGGGCACCTGTAGTCCCAGCTACTCGGGAGGCTGAGGCTGGAGAATGGCATGAATCCGGGAGGCGGAGCTTGCAGTGAGCCGAGATCTTGCCACTGTACTCCAGCCTGGGGACAGAGCAAGTCTCCATCTCAAAACAAAACAAAACAAAACAAAAAACTAAAAATATTTTGTAACATTGGCTAGGTGCAGTGGCTCATGTCTGTAATCCTAGCACTTTGGGAGTCCAAAGTGGGAAGATCACTTGAGGCTGGGAGTTCAAGACCAGCCTAGGTAACATAGTCAGACCCTGTCTCTACAAAAAATTTAAAAGTAAGCCAGGGACGGTAGCACACGCCTATAGTCCCAGCTGCTTAGGAAGCTGAGGCGGTTCACTTGAGCTCAGGAGTTTGAGGCTACAGTGAGCTATGATTGCACCTGCACTCCAGCATCCGCAAAAGAGCGAGACCTGCCTCTAAAATAATTTGTTTAATAAATAAATATTGTGTAAAATTACCTTCAGGCTATATATATAAGATGTATATGAAACATAAATGAATTTCATGTTTAGACTTGGGTCCACCCCCAAGATAACAGTATGTATATGCAAATACTCCAAAATCTGAAAAAAAATCTGAGATCCAAAACACTTCCGGCCCCAAGCATTTCCAATAAAGGATACTGAACCTGTAACATCTAGGTTTGTGTAAGTGTAGTCTATGATGTTTGCACAACAAATCACCTAACTACACATCTCTCAGTACAACTCCCCATTATCGTCACATGACTGTGTTTTCCTCAGATGAGTACAAGGGTATATAACTCTGCATTCCTGCCTAACTGCATCCTTCTTTCATCCAACAGATGAATGGTAACTTAACCAAGTATAGAAGCAAGGGTTGCAATTTCAGTTGTATGAACATGTTACTCCATTATCTTATTACAGTTTCCGGTATTGCAGATGAAAAATCTGATCTTTTTCCTTCTTTGATGTGTTATGTTGACTGGAAGGCTGTTAAATTTTTCACTTTATAAAAAAAAACTGCTTCCATGTTATTTTTTTCCCTGCAATCCTGCCTAGAACTCAGTGAGCACTTTAAATTTGAAGACTAAAATTTGTTTTTCAGGTCAGAAAAATTTTCCTATATTTATTAAGTATATTTCCTATATTTGTTATATTTTCCTATATTTATCACACAGGAAAAAATTCCTATATTATTGAATTACTATTTAATAATTCCTTAATGATTTAGTATTTTACCTCTTCTTTCTATGTTTCATTTTCTCTTTCTAGGATTCCTATTTATTATACATGAGGATGCTAAAGCCTTCTAACTTACTTATTTTCTCTTATGATTTCCATCTTTTATATTTTTGCTTTGTGATCCATTCTTTCAGGCATCTAATTTGGGACTTAACAGTAACGATCCCCTACTCTGATTAACTTACAGAATTTAGTTTAAAAAAATCATATTTTTCAGCCCAAGAATAATTATTTGTGCTGCACTTGATTTTCCATAAGAGCTCATTTTATTCCCTGCAAGTGTTCATTCCTCTAACAGTTTAATTTAGCGTGGCATGTGCTTTGTTTCTTTCAAGTAATCTTTTCTCCAGATATCAAGATCCTTTAAAGATGTTATATATGTATTCATGCATGTGTTTATGCATGTCATTATGGTCAATTCCTTGGGACTCAGGTTTAGCAGCTACTCTGAAACTGGCAGAAAGCAAAGCAGTCTCTCCCTCCACAGATCCACAATGAAGTAAACCACTATTCTTTGAGATATCTACTCCCCAGTTTTTTTCAGGTTCTCCCAGACTCAGAGACAGGAAATGGCTGGTGCATTCAATTCTATCTTCGACTTATAAAATGAAAGTAACCAGGCATATTCACGCAAGATATATGTTAACTTTCCCTTTCCCATTCCCCATCTTCCTCCATTTCCCCACAGGAGTTCTCAGACCTCAGTAAACCAAGTTTTCCTCAAGATCCACCACTTTGGCCAGGCGTGGTGGCTTAAGTCTCTAGTCCCAGCAGTTTGGCAGGCCAAGGTGGGAGGATCGCTTGAGCGTGGGAGAGAGAGGTTTCAGCGAGCCAAGACTGCACACTATACTCCAGCTTGGGGGACAGAGTGAGACACTGTCTAAAAAAAAAATCCAACACTTTCCTCTAGGATCTTCAATGCAAATCAGCAAGTACCTATCCACCCCAAAGTAAACACCTTTGTAGTTATTATCTTTGCCATGATTCCCAAAGGGCCAAAATCTTACCAGCAACCAACATCCATCTTACTCTGGAGAAACAGATACACTACTACATGGCTACTAGTCAAAGAAAAAAGGAGCAACATTAAAGTTTCCTTCTTCCCTGAAACACTTCCTCTGACTTTGGAGAAATGTACACTGAATCTTTGAGATGGAAGTTTTCCACAGGTATCTTTGCACAACATTATTTGAAAATCACCGCATTTAAGAATAGTTCCTCAAAGTGATTTGAAGTTAAGGATATCTCATTTCATCCAAGATAATGTCTATTTCTGTTTATTTTTGTTGTTGCTTTGTAGTAAATTCTAAAAAGGGCAAAACTGCTGTTTATGATGTCATTTTTTCCCAGAAAATTTTAACAGATTTATAATTATTATAAACTTGAACCACTGAAACTTGTTCACTGAAATATTTTGACCTGCATTAATGCTTTATGTCCCTGAATTTATGTTAAAAATTCACACATAAATAAAAATGGAAAAACTGGAAATACTTGATTTCTATCCCCTATTTTTTCACTAACAATCATATACTTAGGTACTGTGACGGTTAATATTAAGTGTCAACTTGATTGGATTGAAGGATGCAAAGTATTGTTCCTGGGTCTGTGAGGATGTTGCCAAAGGAGATTAACATTTGAGTCAGTGGACTGGGAGAGGCAGAC